CACTTGCCTATTGCCTTCTGTCTTCTGCCAGGATTGAGGTGGATGGTCCCTTTGGCACTGCCAGTGAGGATGTTTTTCAGTATGAAGTGGCTATGTTGATTGGAGCAGGAATTGGGGTCACCCCCTTTGCTTCCATTTTGAAGTCCATCTGGTACAAATTCCGGCATGCAGATCACAACCTCAAAACACAAACGGTACACTCCCTCATACCACCTTTTATCTGGTGTGGGCCTGACAGGTCCATTGCTTTCATGGGCTAAGCTCTTTACAACTGATGAGCAAGCACCCCTCCCTGGAGTTATGAGACCAAGTGATCACTTCTCTCTGCCAAGGCATCTGCTTCTACAGATTGACTATAAGAATAGGGTCTTCATTTTCAATTTGAGTTTAAAATTACCTTGAAACAAAAATGACATTGGCGGGTGATCTTTCTCCACAAGGGAAATTGTTAGGACTCTGGACATTTGAGCTGCCTAAGGTCTGCTGTTCTGTAGAGGTGATTTCTCGGGTCACCCTAAACTTGATCAACAAATATACAGTATATCTACCTAATCATGTCACTACAATGCACATTGTAAAGGGCATTTATAAAAGGCTATGTTCTCTCTTGGTGATTCCAGATATATTTCTACTGGATCTGCAGGGAGACAGGTGCCTTTGCCTGGTTCAATGACCTACTGGCTTCCCTGGAACAGGAGATGGAGGAATTAGGCAAAGTTGGGTTTCTAAACTTCCGTCTCTTCCTCACCGGATGGGACAGCAACATTGTGAGTTCAAACAACACACTAATTCCCATGTTGGATGCAAGCTGAATGTCAGACCAAAGACAGTGTGTGCTGATTGGAAATAATTTTTGTGTGTGTGACTTCCTACCTGCTCTCACCCTCACATTCAAGTTTAAAAGTGGCTGAAGGAAGAGACAACTATCAGAGCCTTCTTTTTCTAACTTTTTATTTCTCTGACTCCAGGCTGGTCATGCAGCATTAAACTTTGACAAAGCCACAGACATCCTGACAGGTCTGAAACACAAAACTTTCTTTGGGAGACCTATGTGGGATAAAGAGTTTTCTACAATAGCTACCATCCACCCCAAGTAAGTGTATTCTCCTCTCATTAGTTGAGTTTACAGACTTAGGGTTTAGGAAAGGCATTATGGTATGTTGAACACTCTTGGGAAAAGACCTCTGGGGAAGAAACTACTTGCACCATTCCTAGATTATTGCTTAAAACTGAGGAAATTCCATCTGGGGTTTCAGCCAAATAAGGGTCATGATCTCATAATTGATGAGAATACGTTTGGCTGCACCACAACCCCCCATTCAAATAGTGAGGCAAGGAGACTCAGTTCTGATTTGTGTTACCAAATGAAATAGAACTGGAACAGTTCTAATGCATTGCTTTTGACTTAGTGACCTCAAAGCAGCAAGGATTTGGGCTGTATTATCTAGTTAGCTGATTACCTGACCTCAGTCTTTCTGGAGGGGTTTGAAACACAGGAAAACCTGGTGCCCTGAGGTCAGACATTCTGATGAGAAGGAGATTAAGCTGATTGTGTTAGATAAATTCCAGGAACAACTGGCAGGTGAAGATCAATTCAATTACACAAATGGCTTTAATGGCACCAATGATTTTTATTTAAACCTTAAAACAATCCTGTAAGGTGGGTACTGTTTTTATCATCATTTTACAGAGTGGGGGCAAATACTGAAACACAGAGAGGTTAAGAAACTTGCCTAAAGTCACACAGCTGGACAAGTGTCAGAGCTGGGATTTTAACCCAGGCAGCCTGGCTCACTAGTCTAGCTAGCACTTAACCACTACAGCTGAACATGTTCTGAATAGAACAGGCAAGGCTGAGTACCTAGTGCAGTGGTTCTCAACCTTGGCTGCACATTAGAATCACCTGGGAATCTTTTTAAAATCCTGATTTCTGGGCCTCATCCTCCGGAAATTCTGTTTCTTTGTTATGGGGTGAGGCCACAACATTAGTAACAAAGAAACAGAATTTCCGGAGGATGAGGCCCAGAAATCAGGATTTTAAAAAGATTCCCAGGAGGATGGGGCCCAGAAATCAGGATTTTAAAAAAGATTCCCAGGTGATTCTAATGTGCAGCCAAGGTTGAGAATCACTGATGTGATAAGGGCTGAAAGCTCATTTGGAGCGTGTAAGAAGAAAAAGTAAGAAAACTACTATGAAGAATGTGAGAAGGGTGTCAACAACTGAATTTCTATGCAGAGTTGTCAGTAGTAGAGACCTCATTTCTCCATTCTAACAACATCGCAGCCTTTACTAGCCAACTATTCTTTTCTTGCAGGTCTGTGGTTGGAGTCTTTTTATGTGGTCCTCAGGCTTTGGCAAAGTCCCTGCGCAAATGTTGTCACCAATACTCCAGTCTGGATCCTAGGAAGGTTCAATTCTACTTCAACAAAGAAAATTTCTGACTTATAAGGACCACAATCTGCATTTAGTCTCTCCTTTGTATCTTCAACAACTTACTTGGTCTGGGCAGACACTTAAGGACAAGAACGTGCTTCTCAAGACTTGACTCTCAGGCATTCTTTTTTTGGTTGGATTCAGTTTTGTTTTCTGAACTTAAAGACAAGTGCTGGCGAAGATGTGCAGAAAAGGGAATCCTAGTTCACTACTGGTGGAATGCAGACTGGTGTAGCCACTATGGAAACAGTATGGAGCGTCCTCAAAAAATTAAATATGGAAATGCCATTTCACCCACTTCTGGGAACATATCCCAAGAATCCTGAATCACCAATCAGAAAGAATGTATGCACCCCTATGTTCACAGCAGCACTATTTACAATAGCTAAGATCTGGAAACAGCCCAAGTGTTCAGTAGATGAGTGGATAAAGAAGCTGTGGTACATTTACACAATGGAATACTATGCAGCTATAAAAAATATCTTGCCCTTTGAGACAGCATGGATGGACCTGGAGAGTATTATGCTAAGTGAAATAAGCCAGACAGAGAAAGACAAGTATCACATGATCCCACTTATATGTGGAATCTAATGAACAAAATAAACTGATGAACAAAATAGATCTAGAGGCATGGAAGCATCAAAAAGACGGACAAATCTCAGAGGGAAGGGGGCGGTAAGAGATTAACCAAAGAACTTATATGCATATATGCATTGTCCTTGGACACAGACAATAGTGCTCTGAAGGCCTGAGGGTGGGGTGGGGGAGGGGGCAGAAACAGAGTGGAAGAGGTCAATGGGGGAAGGGAACTTTTGTAATACTTTCAACAATAAAGATAATTTTTTAAAAGGAACCCAAGAACTTCAGAAGTCACAATAATTGCAGTCCATGGAGCCTTTCTTCAGAAAATAGCGATAAATCATTTTAGAATGCCATAATAATTGCAAAGTCCATGGAGCCTTTCTTCAGAAAATAGCCATAAATCATTTTAGAATGCCATGACTACAGCAAGGTCTGATAGCAGAGGTGGATGACAATTTAACCCCAGGTGATTTTCTTGATTGCAAGTGTTACTTTCGCCTGGACCTTGGGTCATATTCTCCCCTCCCTCCCATCATCAAAAAAGATTTCGAAGTAGGGTGCTTTTTTAAAATAAAATTTTATTTAAGAATTAATGACGAAACACAATAAGCATAAATAAAACATAAAAATACCAAGAACCCCATTTCTATATACAATATGAACATTCTTACTGTTATTTTTAAACATGGTCTTATCCAGTGTGAACAGCCATTTATGCTATACTTATTTTTGCTTGTCAAAAAAAAAGGATTTTCTTCTTTGCTTAATGAATGCATCTTTTATTACTTTATCTGGGCTCTCCATTTGGGAAAGAAAATCTTGAAAGTATGCTAATCATAACTGAAATTGTATAACTGAGAGTCAGCTATAGTCATTAGCTTGCATTGCTCTGTTGGAAATAATTGCAAAAACTTGAATTTGATCTTAGGACAATTTAGTCAACAGGGGCTCTTTATCGCCATTTTTATTAAGGGGGTGTATTAATCTCTAGTTTTAATAAAAGATAATTTAGAATTTTGATAACATCTTTTTGCTCCTACATACTTATTCATTAGGGAATCATTCCCATAATGACATAAGCCAAATGCCTTTTTTCTCCTGTCAAAATGCTTTTTTATTTCTTCTATCCTCCTGGCTCCGGATGTTAGTAGTGAATCAGTAGAAGGAAAGACCAGGGCCCTTAAAAGAGGGAAAAACCTCACATTTCATTGTGCCCAAAGACAAGTCAATCCATCAGATTTAAAAGACTGTTTCTACTGAATTAGCATTATAGCACCTATTTCTTTCTTTTAAGTGACCAAAAATGAATAAATGATAGTTTCTAATTATCCAGAAACCTGTATAACTTGTAACTTGAAGTATTTTTCAGTCACTAGTCTGAACAAAATAAAGGTAAGTCCAGATCTTATGGTAGTGAATTATGTTTCATGTATTAATTGGACATTAGTAAAAAGTACTAACAGATGTTTCTGTAGGAATCGATTGGGGTACCCTTACTGTTGCCAACTTCCTGGATTTCAGCTGTCTAAATTTAATAAGGCTTTAGAAACATGCACAATGGAACCTTGACAATATGGTTCTTATTAGACAGCTGCTGACCAAATGATAATTTGGTTTTCAATGAGTTTGGTTTGGAACCTTAGTATTCCTTGAATATCTTATGAGTTCCTAATGAGAGGCTTTACTCTTGATCTCAATGTCTAAATTGTATTGACACTTCCAAGATATGACTGCTGCTAAAATCAACATATCAAGGTCTAACAGCGGTCACCAACTGGTGGCCTGCAGACCACCTGTGGTCCGATGGGTCCGAAACGTTGGCGACTGCTGGTCTAGACTATTCATGTAAGTAGGCAGAAAAGGTAGAGATAATAATAAGTCCTACATATAATCAACATCCAAGCCCAATTTGGGGCTGTGCATGACACCTAGAAATCTCCTAAGCTGTTTTGAGCAAGTTTTTCTTCTTAGGTTGTAATACGAAGTATCTTATTCAGCAAACTCTTATAGTAAATGTTTATATATCAGAGTAAAAAATCCCTCAATTTCAATGTCTCGTAAAGTTGATTATCTTTGCATTCTTTTGCTTGATATATAAGCAATATGCTATTACATTCTCTAAGCCTATTGCAGGCTTTAATTCACTTGACCATACTCCTAATCTGGGGGTAGGATTCTGAGAATATAAATAGGCTCGAGTAGTTCCAGTGGAACTTTACTAATTATTAAGGCACCTCATAACCTCTTGAGGTTGGCCTGATGGAGAGAAATCATGTTTCTCCTTAATGCTACTATGAGAGAAGAAACAGTAGGCTGAAAGAGCCATAAGTCAGAGCAAGGGCACTAATTATGTTCATATCTATCTGCAAGGAAGCAGGCAGGGGAGACAACCATATCTATCTGCTTGGACTCTACATTTGGTCCTCTTAAAATAAATAGGAATGTAAAAGTTTTAAGGTTTTCTGTTTTAATTTCCCAGAATAAATCTGGTTACAGGGTAGGCCTATAGGTTAGTGACTTAGGTAGGATGAAATACATTTTGTGCATTTGATTGCTGTTCAGTTTTTATTTTATCTTGAACATGTGAAAAATTAGTGGATTTTGTAACTTTTAAGGTTGACTACCTAGACTGAAGGGTTTTGGGAGAAGGAAATGTCCAGTTTCGTGTTGTTGACACACTAGAACCAGTGGCTAATACATTTTTGTCTTACCTCTGAACTATGCATGTGAATAGACCTACTATTGACAAAAAATGCATTTTGATAATTGGATTTTTATAAACTAAATACACTACTCTGCTAGGCTCTCTGTTTTGTTGGCCTTTTTATCATTTTATAGCTCTAAGCACATGTTTTTTTCTTCCTGTAGACTCAGAAGTTCTAGCAAGTTCTCAAAGGGCAAATCTTACTATTACCACAGGAAGCAGACTAAGTAGAAACTAAGTTTCTGAAAAATTTGTTTCTGAGAAATTCTCAAATATAATAAAGAAGAATAAATGGTTAACTTAAGAAAAACAGAACTATGGCAATATAACATTGAAGTACAATATTGCAGTAAGGGTAGAAAATACATCTAAGGTTTTACCCTTGGTATTCAGCTTTTTAAAGCAAAAAGTTCATGTGTATCAATTTGCATTATACTAAAACTGTGTTCAAAGTTTATTTCAAGTCACAGAAAATATATCAACTAAGACAACAGAATGATCTAGTTTTGTTCTGAGAGAGGTGATGGGAATCCTCCACCTGGCACCAATTTGAGTCATTCAAGGATTAGGATGTAGAAGTCATCTTTTTGCAACATTTCAACAAAGTTATGGAATTATTTTCCATATTTGTTGCCAGGTATTTTTGAAAACCTGTAAGGAAAAGTTGGGAGAAAGCCATTAGAATTGGAGACAAAGTTCTCTTCTCCAAACAGCAGGAAAAAAAATTAAAAAGTTGGGGAGGGAGACTATGCAAAGAGTAAAACATCCGGGGCAGATTCCTAAGGTGTCTGTCTCCTGCCTCTCAAAAGTAATCATCCTTTACAGCAGGGCTTCTTAACCTCAGCACTACTGACATTAGGGGCCATATAAGTTTTTCTTATGGGAAGATGTCCTGCACATTACAGGATGTTTAGAAGCAACTCTGGTTTCTACCAGTGAATGCCAGTAGCATCATCCCTCTAAAGCTGTGGCAACCAAAAATGTCTCCAGACATTTCAAAATGTCCTGTAGGTGGCAAAATTGCCTGTGGTTGAGAAACAGTGTTCTAATGGCAATGGTATATAAGTGTGTCAGTGATAGCAGGGATGGATCACAGGTAGTGAGGTACACAATGGAGGGAGAGCCAATACTTTGGCTACAGCATGCATAGATGCCAGCAAATAAATATTAAAACCTTGCCTGTGTAAATTGAACAGAGAAAGATGAAAAATGGCCGCAGAGTAGGAGGATGCTGCACTGACATGCTTCTAGGAACAAGCTGGAATTACAACTGAAATACGAGAAGGCTTCCTGAATAATCAACAGAAAACTCACAGGAGAGAACCCTGATACCCAAGGATCGAAGGGGGAGACTACATAGAGACTGGTAGGAGGGGCAAAGGCGTGAAAGGGCTGGCCGGGCGCCCACAGACATCAACTGAAGTCCCAAAGAGATATCTCAGTTGTGTGGGGGTGCCACTGAGAACTCTGGGATCTAATCCTGAAGCTGGGCTCCCCAGCAGATAACACCAATCCGAGGAGGGTACCTACATAACATCTAGCTGTGAAAAGCAGTGGGGTGCTGTCTGCCAGGGAGTGGCAGCTCAAAGTTTGGGAACCCTCTTGAAGGGCCAATGCACAAACATTCCCTGTGCAGCCACCCACCTTGTGCTCTGGCAGAGGGAGGGTGAAGTGGACTGGAGCTGTGAGAGCAGAACCCACGACTGGGGACTCAGGGGATAGAGCTCAGAAGGCAGACACCCCAAGTTTCCCGGGCTGAGTCATTCCCTCACACAGTGAAGGACATCTTTCCCACATAGACATCTGCCTTGCCTGGGGGGAAGACAGTCGACACACCCTATTGGAAAACACCTTGCCCCAAGGCCACTTAAGAAATTAAAAATAACAATTAGCCTCCAGGCAGAAACAACTGCCCCACCCTGTTGGAAAAAAAACCTCACCACACCCGAGGATGACTGCCTGGGGCAATTCAAGTTGGAATCCTATTAGTCTGCAGACAGAGGTGGTCTCTGGAGGCTTTGAATCTTTGCCTGATCCAATTAGTCAGAAATAGCCTTTAACACTGCCCTGCACTAGAGATTGAGAGGTGTCGAGGATCTACCTAAAACATAGTCACAAACCTAAATAGATAGCCAAAAGGAGGAGACAAAAAAAAAACCCCTCCAAATGAAAGAACTAGAAAATTCTCCAGAAGAAGAGATAAATGAAGCAGAGATAAGAAATTTGTCTGAAACAGAGTTCAGAGTAATGATGTTAAAAATGCTCAACAGTATGAAAAAAGATATAGTAACTATGAAAAAAGAACAGTCTGAGATAAAGAATGACATACCACAAATAAAGAACACATTGGAAGGAATACATAGCAGATTAGGGGAAGCTAAGGATCGAATCAGTGAATTAGAAGACAGAGTTGAAAATATCACTCAATTAGAGAACCAAAATGAAAAAAACAATTAAAAAACAGGAGGACAGCTTAAGGGAGCTGTGGGACAATGTGAAAAGTAACAATATTAGGATAGTAGGTGTGCCAGAAGAGGCAGAAAGGGAGAAAGGAATAGAGAAGGTGTTTGAAGAAATAATGGTAGAAAACTTACCTAAGCTGGTAAAGGAAAAAGTCACACCAGTTCAGGAGGCACAGAGAACCCCAAACAAGAAGAACCCAAACAGACCCACACACAGACACATCATAATTAAATGCCAAAATTTAAAGACAAAGAGAGAATCTTAAAAGGCAGCAAAAGAAAAGAAAAGTGTTACCTACAAAGGAGTTTACATAAGGCTGACACCTGATTTCTCATCAGAAACTCTACAGGCCAGAAGGGAATAGCATGAAGTACTCAATGTAATAGAAAGCAAGGATCTGCAAGGCCACTTAAGAAATTAAAAATAACAATTAGCCTCCAGGCAGAAACAACTGCCCCACCCTGTTGGAAAAAAAACCTCACCACACCCGAGGATGACTGCCTGGGGCAATTCAAGTTGGAATCCTATTAGTCTGCAGACAGAGGTGGTCTCTGGAGGCTTTGAATCTTTGCCTGATCCAATTAGTCAGAAATAGCCTTTAACACTGCCCTGCACTAGAGATTGAGAGGTGTCGAGGATCTACCTAAAACATAGTCACAAACCTAAATAGATAGCCAAAAGGAGGAGACAAAAAAAAAACCCCTCCAAATGAAAGAACTAGAAAATTCTCCAGAAGAAGAGATAAATGAAGCAGAGATAAGAAATTTAATGGGAAAAATTTTTCCATGCAAATGGAAAAGAAAAAAAAGCTGGAGTAGCAATACTCATATCCAACAAAATAGACTCTAAAAGCATCATGCTAAGCAAAATAAGCCAGTCAGAAAAAGATAAATATCATATGATCTCACTCATTTATGGAATACAATGAACAACATAAACTGATGAAAACAAACAGAGCCAGAGGGGGGAAAAATAGTCTAGAATATAATAAAAGTAATCCTGTTATTTGCAGGTTTTTAATATTTCCTACAACTATTGTGATATCATACTATGTTAGTACAGTTTTGGTAATATTATTATACTTAAAGTATCTTTATTCTTGAAATATTAATTTTTATTGCATGTAATATTATATGTAAGGTCATTTTTCTTGAATAATTGGTTTGTTGCATGTAACATTATCATATTTAAAATCATTTTTCTTGAGATATTAATGTTTATTGCATGTAACATTATTTAAGATAATTTTTCTTGAAATATTAAGGTCTATTGCATGTAATATTATTATATTTAAAATCCTTCTTGAAATAAAAAAAAAACTGAAAAAAATAATAACAGGTGTGTGGGGAAATGTGGAGAAATTGGAATCCTATGCACACTGCTGGCAGGATGTAAAATGGTACACCGCTATGGAAACCCATCTGGCATTTTCTCAGAAGGTTAAGTGTAGAGTTCCTGTATGACTCAGAAATGCCTCTCCTAGGTATAAACCCAAGAGAAATGGAAACATATGTTCACTTGTGCATGAATGTTCTTATACACAAATGTTCTTAGTAGCATTATTCATAATAGCCGAAAAGTAGAACTCAATGTCCATCAACTGATGAATGACTAATTAAAATGTAGTATATCCATACAGTGGAGTATCATCTGACAATAAAAATAAGTAAAGTATTGATATATGCTACAAGATGGATAAACCTTGAAACATTATACAAATAACAGAAGCCAGTCATAAAAGACAACATATTGTATGATTCCATTTATATGAAATGTCCATAGTAAGCAAATCTATAGTAACAGAAAATGGATTAGTGGTTGATTATAGCTGGGGGAAGAGATAAATCTGGGGACAGGGGGTGATAACTAAAGAGTATGGAGTTTCTTTTTGGGGTGATGAAAAGTCTTAAAATTGATTGTGGTAATGATTGCAATTCTATAACTACATTGAATTAAAAGCTTTAAATAGGTAATTTGTATGGTATGTGAATTATATTTCAATAAAGTTGTTATTCAAAAAATATATATAACCTGGATTGGGGTATCAGGGGAGCATGAGTAAAGGAAACGAGGAAACAGGATCGATTGGCTAAGATTTGATCATGTTGAAGCTGGTACCTGGAAGTTTATTATTCTAGTCTCCCTACTTTTGTATATGTTTAAATTTTATATATTTAAAATAAATTTAAATAAATAAATACAGCAATAAGACAAAAAAATAAATTGCATAGAACTACATGCACAGAAATCAATATAGGTTTTAAAAAATGGTAAAATTGAGTAAGGTCTATAGTCTAGTTAGCAGTAATGTGCCAATGTTGACTTCTTGGTTTTGTACTACAGACCAAAAAGCTGGAAGGGTACATAAGGTACTATTTTTCTAACTTCCTGTGAATTTACAATTATTTAAAAATAAAAGGTAAAACAAACAAAAAACCTTGTCCTGTGGTTTATGTGCAAGGCTTTGAATTGAGATATCTCATAAGTATAATGAACGAATTTTCAGAAACATATCTACCTCCATTACCCCAAAATAATAATTTCCTCACATTATAGGAAATGCCTTCTCTGGCATAAATAAATTAGGAAAAGTAAAAGAGAGGAAGTTCTTTTTATCTGTTCCTCTGAATACAATAGGTACTCTATACTTTTACTGAAAAAAAAAAAAAAAAAGAATGTCTTGGGAATGTGAACTACAAAATTAAAGTACTACCCTGGCCAGTGTGCGCTCAGTGGTTAGAGTGTCGTCTCTCGAACCAAAGGGTCACTGGTTCCATTCCCAGTTAAGGGCATGTACCTGAGTTGCAGGTTTGACCCCCAGTCCCAAATGGGGCATGTGCAGGAGGCAATCAATTGATGTGTCTCTCTCACATCCATGTTTTTCTCTCTCTCTCCCCCTTCTACTGTAATAATCAATGGAAAACTAGTCTTGGGTGAGGATTAACAAAAAAAATAAGTAAAATAAAAAAAAAATAAAAAGTAAGTACTGGTCATACCAAAAGTCTAGCTAGCCGTTCATCTATGACAGATATGATGTTTATTTCCAGTCCAGATGTTTTAATGACATTACAAATATGGATTAAAATACAATGCATTTAGCAAAGACTGCTAATTAGTGTAAATGAGTTCACTATTATATGATGATACATGGGTGGAAATTATAATATGAAGGGGGTAAAAAGTAGAAATTCAAACTGTGATATCCCAGCTGGTATTGGGACAATGTGAATTTTAAACATTTTTTAGAAAACAGAATTAGTTATGCAATAGAAGTTGCTGGGGGAAAATTTTTTAAAGGAAACACTAATACATGTAATCAAGTTAGGTCACATGGTTATGATCCCTTTTACCTGACTGATGAGCAAGAAAAATAAGGGCAGCAATGTACAGCCACCTCTCAAATGTATAGGGACTGATGGTGACGGTGGAAATTCACTACCTTAATTATGTGCTGTAATAGTTCAATCTCTAAATATTTAATATAAATACTGGAAACTAAAACATTTATACATTTTACTGAAATGCTTTGTATTTTTCCCATTTTGATGGGACAGTTTGGAATAAAATAACACAACTGATTCTGGAAGGATATATACCAAACTATATTTAAAGGTTATGTCTGCTCAAAAGTCACTAATTATCCGAGAGATGCAAATCAAAACGACAATGCAGTACCATCTCACACCTGTAAGAATGGTTATCATCAACAAATCAACCAACAAGTGCTGGCAAGGATGAGGAGAAAAAGGAACCCTCGTGCACTGCTGGTGGGAATGCAGACTGGTGCAGCCACTGTGGAGAACAGTATGGAGTTTCCTCAAAAAACTAAAAATGGAACTCCCATTTGACCCAGTGATCCCACTTCTAGGAATATATCCCAAGAAACCAGAAACACCAATCAGAAAGGATATATGCA